TGCCATCCATTTACGCTAGGTAGGTTTTCCTGTGCATCTTGCCTTCAATCTGTCCAGTGTTTTCGACGTAGTTTTTGACTGATTGTACAGCGTCAGATTTTTGCCACGTAAATTGTTCTGTAAAAAAACCAAGTCAGGAGAATACGGTAGGTGCTAGAGGGTCTCCCAATTCAACTCTAAGCTTCTACAAGGTCTGTTTTGCAACACGTGGTCTTGCGTTGTCGTGGGGGAAAATAATACCTTTTCGATTTGCCAAAATCGTCCGTTTTTCTTAAACCTAAGCCTATTCAAATGGCAGAAGGCAGTTGATATTGATTTTCGAACACTTAGTAATCTCTTTGATCGAAATCTTCGCTTTATTCTCCTTGATGGCAAGCAGGGCGTCTTCATCGACGTCAGAAGGTTGCCCTGAGCGTGATTGATCGTTTAAGGTTAAAATCACCCCTTACGAAATCTGCAAAACCACGTTTTGGCCGTCCGAAGAGCTGCAACATGACCCAAATAAACCTTTTTTTGTCGCATTAACGCGCTTATACATTTTCCGAAATCCATAGAGAAGAATTTGGTGAAAGTGTGTCTTTTCATCCTCCATCTTTAAGGCATTCATTTGTGGACAAAACGTCAACATTCAACCAAGTCTGATTAAAAACTGAACAATGCATGTTTTCAATCTCAAACATACCAGAAATCGGCAGCAAAACAAACACTCGTGTCAAGTTTTGATCATTTTATATTAATAATGAAAATCTGAAAAGAACTTTTGCAATGACCTGATATTAATGTCTTATCGTTGTCTGTCCCTAAGGTGGCAATGATTAACCCTTTCTTAAAATTGAGACCCTCGTTCTTGCGGTTCTTAAGTCTTCTCTTTGAATTCCGGTATTAAAACCAAAGCCTCAAGAAAGCACTGAGGAAGGCCAACATCGTGCAAGATAACTTTTTCTCTGTCCGAAAAACTGGAGCACGTTCTAACTAAATCTCCTGAATGATTTTTGTCGCAGTTGCAACGCCTACACCTTTCCAAAATTCATACAGCGTAATAAGATGGCGAAAGTGCACATTTTCATCCCCCATCTTTAAGGCTTTCATTTGTGGATAAAACGTCAACATTCAACAAAGTTTGACTCCCAATTGAACGATGGAAGTTTTCAATCTCAAACCCACCAGAAATAGGTAACAAAACAAACACCAGAGTTAAGTTGCTGCCATTTTATATTAACAATGAAAATCGGGTACGAGCGATTGTAATGATCTGATAGATATGGAAAAATTAATATTTTTATATTATTTTATTTCCACAATTATTAATATCACGTTATAATGAACATTTGAATAAGTATTTGACCCACTGTATCAGCATTTGAATCTGGGACTAGCAAATAATGGACTTTTTGTCATCGATAAGACTTTGGCATCTTTCAACTGGTATTTTTCGACCGTGATTCGGCGAAGAATCGTTTCAAATCGTTTTTGAAGAATAAAAAATGTTCGATTGTATTTCAATCATCCAATTGAGAAGTTCATTTGTTTCTAACTTAACCTTATTCTTCTGGAACTCTTTTGAAATGGTTTCGAAAATGTTCTGGAGATCGTTGTCCTTTTCAAAAGTGAATCCCCCTTACCAAAACTAAACTGGATAACAGAAGGTAAAAGAAGGCACTGATATTTTAGCGAACCCATTTTCTTCTCAAGCCTGATGAGTTGAGTTTCCTGCTTCCCGCTGTGCTAAACTAATCCCATAAAATGTTAAAATGTATCAACCATCATGTTTCACTGTTGGAATGGCATTTCTTACATCGTAAGCCATGTTATGGCTCTCCTTTCCCCTTCTACCATTACTTGCTATGGTCCAAAAGTTCAATTCTTGTTCCGTTGGGCCAAATAACCATGTTCTAGTAATTATTTTTTACCCAAAGCTAAACGAACCTTTTTATGCGTTTTCGTCACTCGTGGCATTTTTAGTGCAATCCGTGCGTGAAAAACTTGCCGGTTCAATGTTCTATGAATTGTCGAGACGCGATACGTTCCAGGATTCTTTGGATCTGTCTGAAAATTCTTAGATTTGATTTCGATTTAAGACTAACTTTCATTATCATCATAGTCACCGGCTTTGGCGTTGAAAGACTTCCTTAGGGGAACCGATCTTGAAAGCTTTGTGCTAATTTAAGATCGTGCTAATTTACGAACGACGGACAAAGCAGTGTAACAGAATTGTCCCAAACCGGTTTGAAATTATCTCGTTGCCTTCCCCAGGTTGATAAGCCTCAATTTCTTTTTGCATTTCCTCGGGGTACTCTTTCGTTTTCATCATGTTTTAAGAAACGAATAATTGTATAATTTATAAACATAAATTTACATATGTCTTCTAAATTAATTAGAAGAAGGCGTCAATTTTAGCTGTTCTAATATTTATTTTTAATCATTTCACCCCGAGCAAGGCGATGAAGCCACTAAGACGTAAGGGGTTACTGAGAGTAAAAGAAAGCGTTATTGTTTCGAAAGGAAAAAATAAAAGAACAAAATGAAAGGATAAAAAATGATAATTGACGCGGCATTTAATTTTTTGGAGATCGTAGTTGACTGGAAAGCAATAGCCTAAAGAGAGATCCACAGGCGACAAGTACGAGATAAGAAACCATTAGAATAGGACTTACGGCTACAGCTAGCAATTTTAATAGTAACATAATGAGATCTAACTGCCAATCAAGTAACGCGCTTAAATCCGAGGCATCAAAGAGGTAAGAACAATTGGTATGAAAATATTTATAGAAAAGGATAGTGAATCTAGCTTACGGCAGTGGGAGATTAACTGAAGCCGAGATGCCAGTTTAGGACTGATAATATTTCAGATACTGGATTTTGTTAGGAATTCCTAGGTACATAGCAGAAGCTTGCTTTGGTTTGATTTTTAATATCGTATCGTTGTCTGTCCCTAAGGTGGCAATGATTAACCCTTTGTTAAAATTTATACCCTGGTAATTCTTATGTCGATTAAGTCTTCCGTTTGAATTCGGGTATTAAAATCAAAGCCTCAAGAAAGCACTGAGGAAGGCCAACATCGTGCAAAATAACTTTTTCTCTGTCCGAAGAACTGGAGGGCGTTCTAAATAAATCTCCTTTTATCGCAGTTGCAACGCTTACACCTTTCCAAAATTCATAGAGCGAAATAAGATGGCGAAAGTGCAGGTTTTCTTCATTCATCTTTAAGGCTTTCATTTGTGGATAAAACGTCAACATTCAACAAAGTTTGACTCCCAATTGAACGATGGAAGTTTTCAATCTCAAACCCACCAGAAATAGGTAACAAAACAAACACCAGAGTTAAGTTGCTGCCATTTTATATTAACAATGAAAATCGGGTACGAGCGATTGTAATGATCTGATAGATATGGAAAAATTAATATTTTTATATTATTTTATTTCCACAATTATTAATATCACGTTATAATGAACATTTGAATAAGTATTTGACCCACTATACCAGCATTTGAATCTGGGACTAGCAAATAATGGACTTTTTGTCATCGATAAGACTTTGGCATCTTTCAACTGGTATTTTTCGACCGTAATTCGGCGCAGAATCTTTCCAACTCGTTTCAACTCCTGATTTGTTTAGTGGCATATCAACATCCTTATGGGTCATTTAATGACGAAATTAAATTTTCTCGGGGACATTAGTAATTTCTTTTACGAAACTATTGCTGGTAATATTTTCTTGTTCCAAAAATTTAATGTTGATATTTTTTTTTCATAAATGTATGGCAAGTATCTTTTACTATATATTTTTTATACATTAATAATGTTTTGACTCCAGATTGGGGATCAACTATTTGCCCATGGCCGGGACCCTAACAGATGCTGCCACTCCGCGTCAGGATGGACCTGGGAACAACAGCAATTAAGAGGCGCTTCTACACTCCTCCAATATTTCCAATTAAAGACTTTGCTGCCGGGTGTAGTTTATCGTCATACACAGGACACCATAGCAGAAGATCCGATATGGCAAAAATATTCAATGAACGGACAAATAATCGACTTATAAATACAAAAAAATAAAGAAAATATGTCGAGAAAAATTGTTGACTGACAAATTTATATTTTAATGTAGGATTGAATATTTATGCAATAAATATTATCGCTAATTATAGAATTCAATATGTGTCTGTATTTCTGAGATGAGGCATTTTAATTATTTACATTGTTCGTTGTGAATATGGAAATAGAAACAGGGAGAAAAGTCCGAACAATATAAATAAAGTAAATATTGAAAACAAATAATAATATCAATTCTGAGTTATTTTTTAATTAAGGCGATAAGGCCGCTAAGACTGGGTTATGCAAGAGAAGGAGAAGACTTCAGACGGAGCCAGAAACTCAGTCCTAAACAGATAACAAGGGATAAACCTCTACTCCTGTACAAAAGACCGGGTTGAAGTGTGAACCGAACGATAGGCGAACCTATCTACTTTCAGATTTCAGATGGAGACGTTAGAAGTATAGAGTTGAAGTAGAAGGAACCGGAAACCCAATCATAAACAGGAAACAAGGGATAAACCTCTACTCCTGTTCAAAAGACTGGGAAAGAATAGGAAGAGATATTTATAAATTCATTTAAACTTTTTGACTTCTGTACAGATGTGAAGAAAACAATGCCTGAATTGAAAAGTTTTATATCCAAATGTATTTTATCACTATAATTGCCATATTTAGTGGGTTCAGGTATTTGAGGTCGTATCAATTTGATATTCTGTTAGCAGCTCAAATACGTGTAGTCACTAAAAATAACATTTATCGTAATAAGAAATACAATTGAATCTATTTCAGTCTGACTGAATCTAACAATGTCAATTTGTTTAGATTTATTAGATCAGTCAGTTCAAATCTATATTCGAGACCATTTTATATCTATTTTCGTTGAATCGATCCTGATGTCTGTCCTGTTCTTAAATATCATATATAGATATATATGTGTGTGTATAGGTATGGGTGTATACTTCCAGGTAAATTATCTTTATACCTCTTCTCCACCTGTCTTTCTGTTTATATCTATCTATCTGGCTGGCTGGCGGGCTGGTTATCTATCTAAATCTGATCATTATCTATCTATCTATCTATCTATCTATCTATCTGTCTATCTATCTATCTGGCTGTCTGTCTGTCTATCTATCTGTCTATCTATCTATCTAGGTGTGTCGGTGTGTAATGAGTTTTAGCTTTGAAAAGCAATGAAGGAACTGACGGAAATATTTTATTCTTTTTCAATTTTTTATATATATATATATATATATATATATATATATATATATATCACTTAAAATTTAGTGAAATATTTTAATGAATTTAAAAGGAATTTCAATGTCCACATATGCGCAAATTATTTGTCATTTTTTTAAAATTATTTCACCTCAAGCAAGGTAATAAAGCCACTAAGAACGGAAGAGGAGTGTTCTAAGTGTTAGAGAATATGAGGAAAAGAAAAATATTATTAAGGAGAGAGATCAATAAAAGAACAGGAATTAAGAAGACAGAAGATATTGGTTGACATATTTTTGAAGATCAATTGGAAAGCAGAAAGCCGGAAGAGAGTTCCACGAACGGAATGTGCAAGAGAAGAAAATATTAGCATAGAACTTACGGTTGCATCTATTCATTTCGACTGTTCAATGATGAAACCTTGTTGCTGTGTACGCTTGAATTCATAAAGTCTAGGTAGCAAAGAGGAAAGCTCATCAGAACAATTCTTTAATTCTGACGATAAAACGTTTCTTTTTCAGGTTATCTAAAGCTAGAAAATATATTTTTAGATTGTAATAATTTGGGCGGGAAGATAATAATACTTCTTAATGATACAAGTTGTAGAAAATGAACCATAATTGGGGCAGGAATTCCTACCTTTCCCAAGGGTATTTTCGCGTAAGTTAATATAAGAAACCCAACTGGAATTGGAACCCAGCTCTCTGAGATCCCGTAATCCATGACACCGACCACACACCCAAGCTTACAACACCTGCTATTTCCAAGTGGTCACCCATGTAGATACTGGCCAGGTTCGATGTTGCGTAACATAGGTGAGCGTAGGTGAACGGGTGCTAATCTTTTTGAAAGCCAGTCCTCACGTGACGAGGCTCACGCTTTTCTGTTGCTATTACCATGGGAAATGCCCAGACGAGTTACTTTCTTTGGCTCTGCCATTTCTAACTTTTACGGCTAGAACCCGCCATGCCACTTACATTGTAGTAAACCACCCACATTCGCTTCACCAGTGAGAAGTGAGTTCCACTGGAGCAGCTTGTTCTCGCGAAACACTGTTCCGTGGAACCGACTCCCAAGAGGATGTTTCCCCGATCTTAACCTGTTCAGGTCTAGAATTAACCGATATCTCCCCCTCCTACCCGCATAAACAGTGGCTCCCGGACCTTGTACAGGATTAACCTTTTGCAAAAAAAAAAAAAAAAAAAAAATGGATAACACAGGACAAAAGTATGGAACTCGGTTAGTTTATTCAGCCTTTCCCGCCATATTCACCTGACCCTGCACCTGCTGATCGTTACCATGTGTCCTCAAGGCTGTACCTCCATTAAAGTACGTATCCATACCACGGTTGATGAAGACGTTGGTTAGACCCAGTGATTAGACCCAAAGAGTTGTGAGTTCAATAATAGGCCACAGCAGTGGTGAACCAAAAACTTGGAGAGTTGGGTTAAAGGGAAATAACTGAGACATTCGGAAGAAGCATGACACGTGGAACTAGAACAATCTACCTCCGTGGACGAAATAAAGGGTTCGAGTCGAAATTCCAATTACCTGAAGAAGGCCGGAGCGTACAACGACCGAAACGTTGTGAATATGGCAATGAAGATGAGGATAACAGTTCGAATAATGTAAATAATGAAAGTGATCATAATCTCCTGTTAGATAAAAACATATAGAATGCATAAATTCATCCAAAACTAAAATAATTTAAATATTAATTGCATAAAAATAAATTCACCACTTACGTTTGTTAGACATTAAATTACATCTCTTAGCATTCTGCATAATTTACGTAGACTTTTCAGTTAACACTTTCAGCCCTGACAACTGCTTTACCAGTGGTAGAGAAAAATAACATTATGCCCAGCCACCTGTTGAACGATGGGTAAACACTTGTAACTATTTTTATATCTATCATGAAATATTACCTACCAATTCTTTGTGAATTTTGACTCAGGATCTCAGGCAGAAAGGGTTAAAATTGTTCAGGAACGTAGGGCACCAAACATTTTTACTTTTGCTTATAAATACTTGTTGCAAAATAAAATCGTCATATTTGCCTTGATGAAGTCCATCAGAGGACGAAACATGTAAGGCTAAGAAAAGTTTTCCTTTTTGTCTTTATTCTGTGAATATAATAAAATTAAATAAAATATAATTGCAGTTTTTTGATAAACAAAACCTGGATGGATTAAATTCATTACTCGGTCGTAATTGATCTAACGAGACAAGCTTGTTAACCATTAC